TCAGTAAATTATGGCACTGCCCACTTGACATTCTTCTCTTTACCTTTTTCCAGTCTAACTTTTGTTCTGGCCAAATTTACTCTCAAAACTTTGATCTGCATTTACTAGTGTTGTGGTTTGGGAACAGTTAAATGAAGCTTGTTGATTTTGTTGACAGTTCTGTATGCTTATTAATTTTTGCTTGATATTTGTGGTATCTAGAGAGGTGTATTAAAATGTTATGATCATGAAATTGTCTTGTCTTCCTGTAATTGTTCCTCTTTTTTTTTTTTAAGCTTCATATACTGTATTTTGGTGCCTTATTGTTAGGTGTACTCATAATTCATGAGAGTTAGAGGATTGGAAAGAAACAATGCAGACCCCTTACCGTGGTCTAGGCTTGTAGCTCTGCCTTGTGTTTGACTCTTGGGCCCATTTTTCCACCATTTTCCCTGTTTGTTTTGTTTTGTTTTTTGTTTTTGTTTTTTTGCTTCAGCCACCTGGTTCTTCTTGCTATTCTTTTTTTTTTTTTTTTTTTTTTTTTTTTTTTTTTTTTTAATGTTTGTTTAGTTTTGAGAGAAAGAGAGCATGCATGAGCAGGGGAGGGACAGAGAGAGAGGGAGTCATAGAACTCGAAGCAGGCTCCAGGCTCTGAGCTGTCAGTACAGAGCCTGACGTGGGGCTTGAAATCATGAATCATGAGATCATGACCTGAGCCCAAGTCGGATGCTTAACCAACTGAGCTACCCAGGTGCCCCTTCTTGCTTATTCTTGAGTAGACAGAACTTATTACTGTCTCCAAAATCTTGGTTACTTTTTCATTTGCCTCGAATGCTTTTTTCTCAGATACTCTTACTGATTTGCTTTTTTCCTTAATTCAGGTCTCCAGTAAAATGCCAGCTCAGTTCTCCTGATCACGTCAAGTAAAATAGCCCATTTGCCCTGATTGTGGAAGTGTCCTTTCATGGTAGTTTTAGTTGACTCTGCTGAGGCCCCTTGGGGTTCACCTGCTCTGACTAGTTTTCATTTGCTTGGGGTCTGTGTACCTTTTAAGGCAATGTGACTGAAGAAGATCCAGGCTTGTGATTTCTCAATTATGGATTTACCGCTATTGGGGTTGTTTTATGTTATCATAAAAACACATATTATAAAATCTACCATCATAACCATTTTTAAGTGTATGGTCCAGTGGCATTAAGTACATTCACACTGTTGCAAAACAGATCTCCAGTACTTTTTTGTTTTGCAGAACTGAAACTCTGTACCCATTGAACATCCCCTTTTACCACATTCCCCCAAACCCTAGGGACCACCATTCTGCTTTTCATAGCTATGAATTTGAATAACTCTAGATACTTTATATAAGTGGAATCATACAGTATTTGTCCTTTTGTGATGGCTTATTTTACTTCGAATGTCCTCAGGGTTCATGCCTATTACAGCATGTGATAGGATTTCCTTCTTTTTAAAGGCCGAATAATATTCCATTGTATGTAAATACCACATTTTGTCTATCTCTTTATCTGTCCATAAACGTTTGAGTTGTTTCCACTTCTGCTGTTGTGTGCTGCTATGAACAGAGGTGTGCAAATACCTCTTTGAGACCCTGCTTGCAATTCTTTTGGGTATATACCGAGAAGTAGGTTTGCTGGATCAGAGGATACCTCTATTTTTAATATTTTGGGGAACCAGAGTACTGTTTTTCATAGCAGCTGCTCCGTTTTACGGTCCCACCAACAGTGCTCAAGGATTCTGAATTCTCCACGTCTCTGTCAACACTTGTTATTTTCTGTTTGTTTGTTTTTAATCCTAGCCATCCAAATGCGTCTGAAGTGATATCTCATTTGATTTACATTTCTCTGATGATCAGTGATGTTGAGCATCTTTTCTATGCTTGTTGACCATTTTTATATGGTCTTTAGAGAAATGTCTATTCGAGTTCTTTGCCCATTTTTTAATTGGGGTATTTGATTTTGTGTTGTTGAGTAGGAGGAGTCCATTATTGGTTTTGAGCATGGCGTTTTATTCACAACGACTTTAATTGCATTTTATCAAGTATTTTTCTCCGTTGGGGATTGTGGGGATTTTGTGTTAATTCAGCTTTCATTGACTGCAAGTCCTGAGGACTTCAGGAAAACCTGGGAGGCAGACAGGTTCGTTTCTTTTCTCTTTTCCTCTCTGTAAAATTGGGTATTTTAAAATAATATGTTCAGATGGGATTTAGAAAGTTCGCAGTTCAGACTGTAATCTGAACAGTCAACAGTAGGTTCTGGGTTTCTATCTTTCTCAGTCTTGTCTATTCCATTCTTTCAGAGATCTGGAATCACCCTTCTAGTGTCCTTCCTTTGCTTAAAATACTTTATTGACAGTTTGATCTTTAATCTCCTTGGCAAGATTTGTAAGACTTTGCATAATCTGGCCCAAACTATCTTTGCAATGTCATGTTCTACCTCTCCCTCATTGTTCTCTGTAGGTCCTGAAGTGAAACTAGACTGCTTGCCATTTTGGCTTATACTGTGTTTTCTTCCTTTCTTCCTCTTTTCCTTCCTTCCTTCCTTCCTTCCTTCCTTCCTTC